GAAATACAAATTATTTATATAAATTAAATTTAATTTTCGATCTTGAAATCATAATTTTTAGTTTTCCCATCTCCTGATATTTTTAACTGATCCTGCATTTTACACAATACACAATGATATTGAGATCATGTATATTTTCCAATTAAATACTACAATCATAATTACAATAGCTAAAATCTCAAAATTATATCATGATAACCTCGCCCTTTTTTTTTGTTCATTCAATGTTTATCACCTACTTTTTTGAGCAAGAAAGTTGCTCCACATTTTTTATTCATTCATATTTTCTCGATATATATCACCTACACTGGTCGAATGAAGGGCTATCGGGTATATTTCATATACCTAATAGCCCTATTAAAATTCATCAATTTGACTTCGAATGGAACCCGATCATCCCACCTGATTTGTGACCGATTCTTGGCGCAAATCAGGTTTAATTATGTAACTTTCGGGTTAACAAGCATCAAATAGGTATACAAGAAATATCAGGTTTCCCGGTAAGTCCTGATATGTTTACAGTACTTTGATAAATCAGGTGCCCAATATTTACACGAAACTACTAAGATATTTATTTGATTTTTGTTATTTATTCATTATATATATTGATTAAAAATAATTACTATGCACGATAATAAATAATATATTATTAATTGTTTCATGCTAATTTTTTGTTACAAATAATAGAATGTAATTTATTAGAAAAATATGTGTTATATTAATCGCGTAAAATAAAATAAATCAATAAAATTAAATTGAATAAAATGATATTATTCAGTGTGGTAAGAAGTTGAAATAGTCCATTTCGGAGCATTGAGAGGTGGCTTGGAATTATTTTCTACATACGTTTGGTCATTGTACCATCTTTTTCTCGTCATCTTTATGTTCTGAATGGTTTCTCCTACTTCATCAGCACGTCTCAGGAGAAGCCGAGCCTAATAAAAATTTAATATTATATATTAGATTAAAATAATGCTTCACATGCTCGCATATTTAATTACCCTTTGGGATCTCCACTGCTTATCATATACGTGGAGAACGTGATTTGAACTTTCTTTTCGGGATGGACGAATCTTATTATCTTTCTCCTCTTGTACTATATGAAAAAGATAAAGAAAAAAAATTAGTAAAAGAAAGTGCTTTAATGCTTTACCAATGGTAATACTGACCTTTTTCTTCATCCGATTCGGACACTTCATCCGAATGGTAGTTTGAATTACCAATAACCTCGTTCAGGTTATTGATCCAATCGTCCCATTCCATTGGAGGTTGTAGATCTATAAGCAATTGATCCGTATTATCCACCATATACTGCAATCCTCTTTGACGCCTTTCTTTCTTCTTTTTATAAATAAAATAAAATAAATAAATAAAATATTAGTATTATTATTGCGAATGTAATTTATAAATTTGTATAAATTAATAAATAAAATTCATATATAATCATCTATTGAATTTCTCAAGTAAATGTAAAACATCAATTCTATCTTGTCTTACGCGAAGATATTTTCAAAGTCTTCAGGATAAAGTTACAAAAGTGATAAGCAACAAAAATGTTAAACGGATACTTACATCTTTTCTCCTACTGTTAATTCCAGTTCTTTGCTTGTTTGCTTTTGATTTTAGAGGATCTAACGAAACAGTATATGCATCTCTTCGATGTCGATGAAGATTTTGTAAAACTTTCTTTAATTCAGTATCCGTATACTGAAACCGATCTCCCAATGCTTTTTTTATAGCCGGTAAAGTATTTTGAGATACATTCTTTTCTATATCAAGCCAGCGTCTTGTATGGTCGATGAATAAAGAATTATCCAAGCCCTTCAATATTTGAACAACCTCATCCTATAATAAATTAATAAATCAACAATCTATATAAACTCTACTAACTAAAATGAAAAACGAAAGATATAATATAAACAATTACTAACTCGGAAAGCCTTCTTGTATTTATGATTCATCGGTTCCAAGTTATTTTGGACTTTAGTGTGCCTAGCTGATGATGGATCGGGAGACGAAGAATATTGTATCCTTGTTTGATGACTATCAATCTGATGAAGAGACTCTTTGTCATAACGAATTTCTTCTACCTCTCTTATTAAATATGACAAAGCCGAGCGTAATTCTGTAATTTCTAATATAAAATTATTAGTAATCAGGATACTATTCTTTTTTATCTGTTATTTTTACCTTCTCGATCTCCTTCTCTGTTCTCACTTCTTTGTCTTGTTTCCCTTTCCCTTATATTTAACAAGGAATCTTCCCGATGAGAGTATGGAGAGTATGGGGAGCGACTTCTATTTATATTTAACGGAAAATCTTCTCGACGAGAGTATGAAGTTGGGCTTCTGTTTTTACCTGTCGAACCATCTTTTTGGTAAGAGTATAAACTTTGATTTCTGCTGCTTCTTAATGAAATATCTTTTGATGAGAGTATAAAAGATCTTCCCGACGAGAGAATGGAGTCCGGCTTCTATTTCTATTTAACAAAATATCTTCCCGACGAGATAATGGAGTCCGGCTTCTATTTCTATTTAACAAAGTATCTTCCCGACGAGATAATGGAGTCCGACTTCTGTTTCTATTTAACAAAGTATCTTCCTGACGAGATAATGGAGTCCGACTTCTGTTTCTATTTAACAGAGTATCTTCCCGATGAGATAATGGAGTCCGACTTCTATTTCTACTTAACAAAGTATCTTCCTGACGAGATAATGGAGTCCGACTTCTGTTTCTATTTAACAGAGTATCTTCCCGACGAGATAATGGAGTCCGACTTCTGTTTCTATTTAACAGAGTATCTTCCCGATGAGATAATGGAGTCCGACTTATATTTCTATTTAACAGAGTATCTTCCCGATGAAATAATGGAGTCCGACTTCTGTTTCTATTTAACAAAGTATCTTCCTGACGAGAGTATTTGTCATTTTTCCTTAACGAAGTATCTTTCTGATGAGAATGTGAGATATCTTCTTCCTGAAAATGGCGTGGGGTTCGATCCCTACCCCTTTCTTCTTGTAAAGAAGTTTCTCTATGCAGGTAAGAAGAACTTATTCGAGAATAGCTTTAGAATAATTAAATATAAAACAAAAAAAAAAATCTTTTACTTGAATTTATCCATTGTTGTTGAATAGCGTGAGAAGGATTTGTTTAAGAGATGTTCGAAAGAAGAAAGAGTTTAATTAAATAGGATATTCCTAAGTTGATCATATATGTATTGTTCTAAATAAACTTTAATTAAACTATAATATTATTACAATAAACAAAATAAACTTTTAATTTAATCAATCAAGTGAAATAAAAAATATATCTTACAGTAAACATTCATCGCCAAAGAATTCAAAATGTCTTATAATAAATCTAAAAGTGTTTACGGAGTTCAGAAAACTCCCTATACTCGTCCTCCTCGAAACTGAAAATTTGCACCATGTTATTGTCTGGGTTGTAAAGGAGAATTAAAAGATCCCAGAACTATAAAATCTCATGCTAGAAATAGAATTATACCTCAACGAGATAATCTCCCACTTACTGATTTGATAACACCAGCTAAGGAAAGTTTTGCAAATATAAACTATGTTGAAGATCTACAAGAACCACAAGAAGAATCACAAGAAGAATCACAAGAAGAAAGTTATTCGTTTTTGGTAAAAAGAACGCCAGTAGTTTCTCGAAGAAACAGAATATCCACAATTTCCAATCCAGAAGTAGTAAACGAATTATTTTCTGATGATGATAGTGACGATACGCCTGAAAATGATAATGAGCGAGAGTTTGAAGACAATACTTCAGAATATTCATCAGATGCTTCAAGTGAAGCTTGTCAAGTGAATTTCGATGCTCCAGAAATAGAAATAGAACAAAATTATTCTGTGCAGTCCGAAGAATTGAATGATAATTTTTCGTGGATCGTTATATGGATTTTGAAATATCAAGAAAGATACAAGTTGCCCAATACAGCTACAGATTCTCTCTTAAAATTTTTTCGTTATGTTCTTACGGGTATAAACAAAAATTTGTTTTCAAATTTTCCCACTTCTCTATATATGGCATTAAAGAAATTTGGAATTTGTACTCATTTAATAAAATATGTGGCTTGCAAGAAGTGCTGTAAATTGTACCAAGTTGCAGATGTATCTAGCAGTAGTACTATCTTTGAGCCTAAATTTGCCAAATGCGTATTCCAAGATTTTCCTAACCATCCGATGAGTAATAAAAGAAACTTCTGTGGAAATACTTTATATAAACAAGTCCATACAAAAAATGGAATTATTAAAAAACCAGACCTAATATTTCCTACAGTAAGTTTTGAAACATCAATTGAGTCTTTTATTCAAGCGAAAGGGATGTGAGAAATCATGTCGGAAATGGGTTAGGGTTAGGGTTAGGGTTAGGGTTAGGGTTAGGGTTAGGGTTAGGGTTAGGGTTAGGGTTAGGGTTAGGGTTAGGGTTAGGGTTAGGGTT